CCAGGGACAGCAGGATGGTATGACAGAACTGGAACAGGAGCTGTAGTGCTTGGGTGGAGCGCAACGCTCGGCGTGATTGGGTCACTAAAAGAGATGCGACGTTTTGGAGCATGTGCACCATGGAGGGGGTATGCTCCTTTGTCAAGCTGACAAGATTGGCAGATGTGCAGGCTAGTATACAATGGGGCAGTGTTCCTGCCAAATAGAATTGGGTAATACAGCGACAAATAGGAAGCTAAAATGCATGCCAATACAAGTGTCATCTAGTGGGTAAAATTGGGATATACAATTGCAATAAACCTAGTTAACACACAAAGTATTTAGAAAGGCTGGGAGTCTGATGTGGATAAGAAAGGGGAAGCCAGGAGGGAGACCAAGATGTTTTTGGCTTCCCCTTTCTTATCCAGTTTTAGTAAATCTCACCCAAAGAGTCATGAGCTCATACATGGCAATTGTGTCTCCTTAGCTGAACACACACAAAATGCTTAACCCTGCAGATTCTTATCGGCAATGTGCTTTTCCCAGTCCATTTTCCATTTTTACTGAGCAGATATGGGACATACCATTGCTGATCTCTCCCTTGGAATTTACTTGTTACCCGGCTGTCATGCTGACTAGCTCTACTCTGAAACAAGTTCTAGATAGAATTTAGTTCAAATTCCATTTAATAAAAGGGAAGGCAAATGCTAGATCTTTTGTCATAGGTGATGCCTGCTAGCATAAGAATTAGAGGGCAGATCACCCCCAAACCCTTCCCCACAGCAAGTGCAGAACTTAATAAGCGGTCTATACAAGACACATCACACTTAGTACTAAGAACAGGTCTGTTTATTACAGTTAAAGCAGTACAAGAAAATATATATATAGAATGCAAACTGTAAATTTTTGTACACTTGCTCACTATTCAGCTGCTGAAGTGGTCCAAATGCTGGTCATACACAGCACAACTTTCTTCTAAATCAAGACAACCTAGCAGTTAATATAGTTATATGGCAGGTGTGTTGGTAGGTTGCCTTTATCTCCCTTTTTTTTTTTCCATTGGACTGAAAGGCGGCAATTTTTTAGACTCTCTGCATAAAATCGGGCTCAATTTGACCCAAACTAAAGGAGTATTACTAAAGTCACATAAGCACTTAAAACATGTTGTATTTCTCAAAACAGAATTGCAGGCACGAAAGGTTTCCGTGACTTCATCTTATTTTTACAAGCCATGTTTTCCATAGTGTCAGGCAGTAGCACAGAGGTGTTATTTGCAAAAACTAAAAAGGAAGAATTTGATTCTTGTTCTACATGTCATTCTGAGGCAGGCTGGTAAACAAAAAAAAAAAAAAAAAAAAAAAAAAATCCCATTTGAAGTTCTATACTCAATTTCACCTACCATTTCAGGTGGGCAGACAAAAGGGGAGGGGAACCCCCCCCCCCCCCCAAAAAAAAAAAAAAAAAAAACCAAAGCCCCCCACCTTCAAAAACCCACTGGCAACCCGCAGCTAAGGTTTGCTGCCCTATTGAGCAAGGGTCTCCATGCCCGCCATGCCATCCTGTCAAGCCTGGCCATTAACCATACAATCAGCATAATCTTCAACAATTGCAGAGCTTTTGATCTTACTCAGAAGGGGCCCGTCAGGCCACTACAGCAAGATGGCAATAATGACAGAGCAGCATCCTTACACCAACATGACAGCCAAGACTTTGAAAACCTGTTAATTTTTGACACCCTTGAAATGGTGTGGTTTTGTAGAAAACTTTAACTGGGAATTAAAAAAGGAATCCAGGGAAGGATTTAAATAAGTTATATTTTTTTTAACAATGACGCATATAGCGTACAGTACCATTAGATACAATACCAATTATATTGGAACACACACTGCTAAGAAAAGTGTTAAATTATATCTTGCTATACACTGCAAAGGCAGATATTGTGTTGGCTCAATTAGCAACCAGCCAATCAATTCATAAAGAACTAGTGGAAGCTATAAGAGCTGGGAAAGAATCTACTAAGCAGAACGCACATACACATCTATGAAGAAATAACACCAGACAAAAGACATTAGTTAGTGTGCTATGATGACAGTCCATCGAATGTATAACCCAGTACACAGATTAAAATAAAAAAAAAGTGCATTTTAACCAGTCAATAGTCTATGAAGAGGGCTCATTTCTCAGTTAAACTTTTTGCATTGATCTCCTTGAGTGCCTCATTCTTCCGGAAGATATATGCATTGGGACAGCTTTGGGGATCTTCCAGGTTTCCAGCTGGGCAATACCAGCAATACAAGGATCATGGTCTTTCAACATGTCTGGAAATACATGAGATTTTTTTTTTTTCCAAGCGGCTGGAGCGTCTTACAGGGGTTAAAAATTTGTAACCCTTGATGCTGGATTGCCCCTCCATCATCTGTAGTTTTCTAATTCTGGATAAGACAAATAGAAAAATATATACGATGAAACCATTGCTATAACTAAAATAAAAGAATAACTTATACTAGAATAATCACAAATCTTTATTATATACATTCAATGGATCAAACAACTTTATGTAAATTATTCATACTGCACAGAAATTGTATGCAAAATTTTTGTAAAAAAAAAAAAAAAAAAACTTAATCTTAAAAAAAAAAAGTGCTAAAAAATAATTAAGCATACCAAAGCCAAAACTCTATCTGTATCTTATTAGGGAGATTTTTCATCACTTTCTATCCTTCAGACTCAACAAGAAGTGAGATCTTTTCTCAGTGTATGCAAAACTTCCACTTTGGCAGGAGTCACATGAATAAGTAACCCCAGCAGATTTCTCCTGTATTCCTGTTCTGATGACAACTCAAAACATTTGGATTTTCCCCAACTTTTATTCCTGGTGATTAGGGCAGCAAGTCGATCTTCCTAACAGGGACCCAGACAACAATAAAAACCGGACAGTAGTTCTACCCTTAACTTTGTATTATAAAATACAAAAAAAAAAAAAAAAAAAAAAAAAAAAAAAAACAAAAAACACAAAAGTGAAGCGTTTTGCCTTTAGTTACACTGTAAGTAATCTAAACCAGCTTTTTTCAACCAGGGTACCTTCAGGTCATTTCAGGGGGGCCTTGGCAAAAATTGTACACAAGCTAGCAGGTGGATCAAGCCTGCCTTTTAGTTACACAAAGTCACAGGTTTTTATTGTGCACCATTACAACACCTTCTAGCTACTGTCATCCTAACAGCCAGCAATGTCATTGGTTGATGAGGAGGCTGTCAGGCTTCTGCACAGCATCCTTGCTTGCCCTCCACCCTTGTCCCTGTCCATCAGCACTCGGGTTATATTACCTCGAACGTTGAGTTCTATGTATGTGACTGTTCCTGCATTATGTAGAACTATTACTTTAGTTTTTACATTTTAGAATGGGGTGCTATGTGAAAAAAGGTTGAGAAACTGTACTAAACGTAAACATATTCTAAATGAAATGTGAATATCCAAAAAGTGCGGTGCACCTCTGCAATATATGAACACTTTCCTGTATTTTATTTGTAAGTGATATTAAAGGCTTAATAAAAAAAAAAAAAAACAAAAAAAAAAAAAAAAAACACACCACAAACAGATCATGCTTACCTGCTGTATGCAGTGGTTTTGCACAGAGCAGCCTGGATCCTCCTCTTCTCGGGTCCCCTGCAGGCTCTCCTGGCCTCTCCCCTCCTGTGAGGTGCCCCCACAGCAAGGAAGCTTGCTATGGGGGCACCCGCTGCTCCGTGTATCCATTCACACATGGAGCCGCGGCTTAGCCCCATCCCCTCTCTTCTCATAGGCTCACTGGCTGTGATTGACAGCAGAGGGAGCCAATGGCTCCCACTGCTGTCTCAGCCAATAAGAGGGAGTCCCGGGATTTCCAAAACTCCAGTGGACAATTTTTTTTAGAAGAACAGCAGCTAGAGAGGTCAGGGAAGGCTTGTTTTAAAGCGCTTTTGTTGCTTGTTTAAAAAATTGATCTTCCAGAAATGAACTTGTGGGCTGACACCACAGTATTTTTGTGGACTGAGTGTTGTCAGCCCTGCTTAGTTTTTGCTTGACAAACTACTCGAACCCATCCACTCTCCCATCTCCATTACATAAAAGGTAATCATTCCTTAGTCCTAAGATATGGACGGGGGACAATTTTTTTTCTTGAGACAACAAAGAATATGAGCACCGGACAGCTCTGAATTTCTGACATGATCAGAAAGTTTTTTTTGCTCTTATCAAAAAGATAAAACGAATTCAAATGGTATATTTAACAGACTAAAAGGAGGAGCAAATAAGGTTTGTCAGGGTTTACATACAGAGAATATATGTCACTTTGCCCAGTCTTGATAAACCACCCCCCACCAATTAATACACACCTCCGCTGTGCTTCCCACCTGGTCTATTCATACACCAAAGCCCTCAAAATACCCTGGGGCAGTTAATCACAAAACCTAAATGTACAAGGTCTCATGGAGCTGAAGATCAGCAACTGTGTAAAATTCCAACAAATGACAGACATGGAGTTCACACATTTATTCTAATCAGGTCCTTTGATAAATAGGACAGCAGTGGAGAGGAGGGTGGTAAACATATGAGACATTCTACCAACCACTGGGTAACAGCTGGACTATTGGAAAGTTATGAGTCAAGCACCTCCAGGCCCCATTATCCCGAAACCCTTAGTAAAGGACGCAGGCAGAAACAATTAGACCCTGATGTGCATTAGAATGGAGATATGCACATAGTACACTAATAGCATGTCATCGATTAAACATGTACTTTCAGGAAAGGGGAGATCTTACTTTTCCAAATGAGGGGTTGTAGTAATGTTGAATCTAATAACAGATGACGTATCCTCTCCTTTTTCTGGGGTGCCCTGAGACTTGGATGGTTTCTCAGGAGTGGATGGGCTCTTTGGCTCATATTTCATTGCTCTTCTCCTTCCCCTTTTTCTTTTTTCCTTCATAGCAGAATCCTCAGGTTCAGACTTTACTTCATCCTTTAATTCCTCAGCCTGAGCCTCTTCCTCACTCTCATTCTTTTGGTTCTCTCCTGTAAAACAGCACCAATTAAGGACATATAACATGTTTATTCTGTGTATACTCAACCCAAAGTTGGCATGTCTGGTGGGCAAAAATCACCTGCTGGCACTTTATAGGACTCTAGTGCCAAGACTGCAGTATCAGCCTCTGCTCATAAGCCAATAACAGAAAAAGGGCTAGTTACTAAAACTGCATTATGTAAACTCTGGTGCAGCTCTGTGTAGAAACCAATTAGCTTCCAGGTTTTATTTTCAAAGCTTGAACAAGCTAGAGTTAGATGATTGGCTACCATTCACAGCTGCACCAGGTTTAGTAAAACTCCCTCAGTGTCACTGTCTTGGTGAACATTGGTACTAACACAGAAAATTATGGGAAATACAAGATGTTGGATGTTCCCTAGGCGATCTGAATGGAAGTTGAGTGGTACCCAATCATCTTCTACCCACTCCAAGACAAATAAATAAAACCCCAATAATGGTAAAGAGGAAGGAGGAAGAAAAAGTAGAACTTTCCCTTTCCAGTGAGGTTCTGCTTTAAAAGGTGTGTTCAGAATAGGACTAAGAGAAAGGGAAGATCAACCCACTTTGACCGGACCAGTTCTCTCCTTGATTGAGGATCTATGGGCTTTGATGCATACCGCTTACTTACACCTGTCTTCTGGTGAGTGCGCATTTCTGCTTTTCTTCACGGACTGCCACCATTGATTTTCCACTTGTCATCTGGCACGTTTTTATGAATACACTTTAGTGAACTTTCTTTCCAACTTTCTTATCTAGCGCTGCACTTTTGTTGATATTACTCTGTTTAAGTATTTTTGGTTACTTAGAGTGCTTAGCTGCTTTTTTGGATTAGCGCTCACGCTTTTATTATTATATACATAATCTTAAGAATCTGCCACACTAAGAGGTTTCAGAGACTTGGTCCCACTCTGTGCTTTCATCCGTCAGCACTTGCAGCATTACAGGACAGTGGTGGAGCAGGGGCTGATGGAGGGAACCACAGCATGCAGCAGGAGACAGCCAAACATGTGTCAGATGTTTAAGATTTTTGACCAATCTTCATCATTTATCTGCTGAGACACACTATGGCTGCTGCTATGTGAATACACAGGTGGCTAGGTTCATAACAGATTCTGTTTTAAGTAAATCTATGACACTATGGAGATTCAGGCAGCAAAATTCTATTTTGTATAGGAACAACCATCTACTTGGCAATAGATTTCCCATTAAAAGAAATCTGTACTGTGAAAAATAAATCAGAACTCCTAATCTTTAAACTTGTTCCAAGTCACGACTTAGAAATGACTGAAGTCATTGGCCATTATTGACACTTGTCTGTAACCTCAGCAATATAAATAAAACCCACTTATAATCCTAAGACACATACCAGGCTCAGTCTTCAACTGTTCCAGTGTATTTGCAAGAATGGCTCTCAGCTCTTCTAGAGGCTGCAGAAGAGGGGAAAAAAAAAAAAAAAAGTGTTCATCTCCTAAGAAAACATTTAGGAGTAGTTACACATACAGTAGTTAGCAAAAACCTTTTAGAGCACGGTTTATGCTAGCAGCAAACTGATGTACAGGCTAAAGCACCTGATCTTAAATTAGATATAACAGGGCCAAAAGATATAAAAACATGGAATATGAGTGGGGATTAGCTGTAAAGCAAACTTGTGGCCGATTAAGCAGTGGAAAATCATGGATGTGCAATAGTGCATGTACCTTATAGTCCCCAAGCACAAAAGTTATCTGGAGAACACCCAGCGTACCAGAAAAATAGCCATTTCCATTACAAGAAGCAGCAATCAGGTCTCATTCCTTCCAGCCCTTGTTACCTCCCTATTGGCTACAAAATATGACAGGGCCCATAGGGAGGGTTAACGTGGAAACCATCCTCAAATATGGGCCATAAACAACAGAGGTGGATCTCCTGTACACCACAGACCTGATCAATCCATAAAACCTGTAAGGCCTGTAAGGAGATTTTAGGGTGATTTACTAAAAGGCAAAAAGACTGTGCACTTTGCAAATGCAGTTGCACTTATTTCCCCAGAGCTTATTGAATGTGGTAAAGCTTTATTGCTTTCCATCACCCAATCATGTGCAAATAAAAATGCATTTTTTTAAATTATTTTCCTTGCACCTGATTGGGTATTCTTTACAAAGTGAAGCTTCACCATGTCCTCTTCTACTAAGTCCTGGGAAAAGGAATGCAACTGCACTTGCAAAGTGCCTTTAGAAAATAAACCCCACTGTAAGCATGGCATAGTAAAATAAGTGATCTTCTAAAGTTATTCTTACCTGTGCCCCAGCTGCCACTGCTTTCTCACACACGTCAATTACTCTATATGGCTGGCCTTCCCTCTGTTCAAGACGTGCCAGACATTCCCAATATCTGGAAAGCTTCTTTGCTTCCGGAATATTCTCAACCTGCTTTTCCAGTATGGATAGGATTTCTTCCTTTGGAATACCCTGGTACCAGAATAAAAAAAAAAAAAAAAAAAAAAAAAAAAAAAAAAAAAGGGGGAGGGGGGGAGTGATACAGTTACCTTCTAGCAACACCAGTTCCAAACATCTTTTAATTCTAGGTTCACACTCTGCAGGTAGGGCAGCTCATTAATTTCAACAGGAACATGGATATAGAAGTCTGACACTTTCTGAAAATTGCACCACACGGAATCGCATAGTGCTGAAGCAGTGCAGTTTCATGCATGTCAAAAAGCAGGGGTTTTGCTGATGCCTGGGGGTGTCATTAAGACTTATTGGCACCCCTGGATGTTTGCTAAAGAGCAGATCCTTGGGAGATTTCCTCTCTAGTACTGTCATTTTCAACGATAACGGTAAATAGGACTAACAGTGAATCTTCCAAAAGGGGGGGCACAGACAGCAATACAACCAGACAGGTGTTCTCCCCTCTATCTCAAAAAAAAGTTCAGTGTTTCTCAACCTTTTTTCAGTCACCCTTTAAAATTATGAACAGTCCCGAGGAACCCCATTCTAAAATGGGGTGCCTCATGGCTGTCCATAATTTTAAAAGGGCACCCCATTCTAAAATGTGAATAACTATTCTAATAGTTTTATATAACACAGCAACAGCCACACATGTAGGACACCCAACATTGGAGGTGATTTATTCTTCCAAAGCAAATACACTTTTGCACACTGGTCCATCATTGATGACTATACCTCATCTATTAGCTTCTGACACTCGGCAAAGATCTGGTTGACTTTCAGAGTGAACCATTCCTGTTCATCCTCTTCTGCCATGGTTGCCCAGAACAGCTGGCGAGGTTCTTCGGGTTCATTTTTAATCACTGGCTCATCCTTTTGTACCTTAACTGTAGAAAGCGGGGTCACAGATGGGGGCCTTTTCATCACCTTTCCTTTTGATGCCCTCCACTGTGCTAAACGAGCCCTGAATAACAAATAAAAAAAAAAAAAAAAAAAAAAAAAAAAAAAAAAAACAGCATTGGAGTTCATAGTCTCATCAAACCAAACACCCACATGCGGCCTAGCATTTTCCAGTAAGCTGCACACAGATCAAATTTGGTTAAATTTTCCAATAGATGAAGGACCAAAGTCTTATTGACTAGTATGTGATTTTGACCTATTTCTTAGAATCTGACGGGTTATCTGTTACACATCAGGTCTCAGAGTTGCACAATATTGTACAGTTCTCAGAATTTTATTGCAGGTTTTCAATCCAAAACACAGAAACCTTACACTGGATGCAGTTTTACCATACATTACTGTGACACTGAATTTGTGGCTTAGAGAGACATTTTTAAAAGTGCATTCCCCTTTTTGAAGTCAAATTTGTGAAACCCCTGCTATATCTCTGGCATGTATTCCCATGCACACAGCATACCTAAAAATACTTCTTACCCTTAGAGTTTTTTCTTTGGAGCAGCTTTATATGCAGGACTGTATAGGCAGAGTAACAGAATAGCTTGCAATTTGGGAACAGGCTGAGGAACTTTTTTTTTTTTTTTTTTTTTAAATGCTCTTACATACAATGTACCACCCAAGACTTGAAATCTTTAACCACTTGTTAGGACAGACTGTGTGCACATCTAGTTTAAAACAGATAGTGAGATTTGCCAGCACAGTACAGACAGGGTGAATTGTGGTACATACAATTCCCTGGTCCCCTCTATAACAGCACATAGGTATTTGAACCCCTTGGCGCCGGCGCCACCCGGCCCTTTAAGGGTTTCAGAAGCCGGGAGGCGGGGTTTAGGGTCATGTGACCAGTGACACGCCATCACATGATGGGGAAAGGTCCCGATCGAAAGAGGAGAGTACCGGACATGTGTGCTGGGAGCGCGCTCTCAGCACATATGTTTTTTTTTTTTTTTTAATAGAACGCAAATGTGCGGCTGCTCGGCGTCTAGGTCCAGATGCCGGGAGACCGCACATTTGCGTTCAGCTGGAGTATAGAGGTTGAGAACGAAAAAGGTAAAGAAACAAAAATTATTATTTATTTATTTTTTTTAAGTTAGACTATGTGAATGGGAGCATGCAACACATTAATATTTATTATGGCTTAAGGCCAATTCACGTGCTATGAATTGCTAAAGGTTCTGACCTCTTACAAGGGTCTTCTGTGCAATAATGTGGATTTAGTGTAGCGAGGAGAAATGGGGGGGGCGATGTAGCTTACCAAATGCTTAGCTGCATTCAAGCAAGATGATTGTTTTTACTTGCTTACCTGGAGAACAACATATGCTCCTGCTTTAACTACATATGGACCAATTTTGTTTCTTTTATTCTTAAAATACACATGCATACCTTTTTCGTCCTCCTCTTTTTTTTTTTTTAAAGTTAAGATCAAATACCCTCTGTTCTTAGCTGCATAGGAGCTTAAAGAGCTGGGGGGAGGCAGAACAGTACACAGCACACTGATCTTCCCAGTGAATGACTGGGGGTGTCAGCAAAAGTCCGCTCATAGGAGGAAAGCAGGCTGCATTCCCAACATAGCCAGACAACTAATGTCTAGTGTGGTCAGTTTATTAGGAAAGCAGAAGGATTGGCAGGAACACCAGCATCTTTAGTGTGGGAAGCCAGCCGAGACTCCTTGTGGCTTCACATCCGGCTCCCCACTGCCTATACATGAGCCGCATTTTGTGAATGGTCCCACAGCCTTCTGGGAACTGTGAAGTGTCCCAGAAGGCTGTGGGCAAAGAGAGGGTGGACCGAGCCCAAGTGGGAGGGGGTACCTTTCAAAACCAGGTACCCGTTCCCCCCAAAAAAAATGAGGCAAATTTTTCTGGGGGAGTGGACATAAAGCAGAACTTCCCCTTTTGGGTGACGTTATGCTTTCAATTTCAAAATGTGACTATTGACACGGGAATGTACAGAACAAAAAAAAAAAAAAAAAAAAAAACACAAAAAAAAAAAAAACAAAAAAAAAAAAAAAAAAAAAGACACACCACACACCTGCGTTCTTCCGCCGATTCATTCACTTTAGGGTATTTTCCAACAGTGGAAGGTCGCTGGTGACTGGGCAAGCTGCTTACAGGGCCAATTGTTACTCTTTTCTTACTCTGCATCTCAGATAAGTCTGCAGCCTTTTTCAGCACTTCAGGCTTCTGCTGCACATTTGCTCCCAGAGACTTCTTGTGGTTAAGTATGTGGGTGGTTCTTCTTATGGTCACATGTTGAACTTTGCTCTTGGTAACTGCAGTACTAGGTGCCTTTGTTTGTGATGTGGCTGAGATGACATGGGTAGCTCTTCTCATGGTTCTAGGTTCAGCTTTGGCCTTGATAGTTGTGGTGGATGTCCTGACTTTTGATGTTACTGGTGGAACTTTCTTTTTTTGTGGAACTTGCGGCTTCAGTTTCACATCATTGACAGAGGCTGGCCTTACTATTGGCTTCCTAGTAGTAGATAGATTTGGTTTGGTTGCTGCACTTTTTGTAATGTTTTTATGCTCTGGGACTGCACTTTTATTGTCTTTAGTTTCAGAAGGCTTCCTAAAAGAATTAATCTTGGACTGCACAATTTTTCCACGATAAGCTCCAAGAACAGGCCGAACTGTTGACTTCTGTTCTGCTTTGGCAGATTCCTCTTTTTGCTTCTCATCCTTTAGCTGTCTCTCCTTTAGAGTTTTTGTTTTTAAAAAAGACTGGCTGAACGTAGTAGTTTTGCCATCTTTATTCCCGACCGGTCGGATGTTTTCTTTATTAATCGGTTTAATCTAGAAAGACAAAATATACAAATTAAACTGTAAAAGTCACATCAAGCATGATGTACACTGTATAGGAATATACTGAGAAAGCAGAGGCCAGTAACAGCATTCAGCAAAGTTTTGTCTACTGAATATTACTCTACTCAAAATTTCAAAACACTTACCATTTTTTGGTCCACGGCTTTCACTGCTGCATTCTTTTTCTGGGGAGCTCTATTTGACCTCTCTATTAAAGGAGACCTTTCAGAGAGAACACAGAGGACCTTATAGTGTTTATATTTAAATAGATGTACAATATTGTAAAAAAAAAAAAAAAAAAAAAAAGATTTAAACACCATTAAAAATATTAATGCATTGATTTTTATTTTATCATTTATCAAATTGCATAAAACAGAACAAAACTGAGATCAAACCAATGTCAACCGTTTGTCTTCATAAACATCAGTTCTCCCATGTACACTTGCATACAGTTTTTGATTTGGCAGGCATGTGATTTAGTGCATGATTAAATCGTTAGAGCAAACAGGTAGTGATGATCAACAAGATGGGTAGAATTTAATCAATGAATCAAACAGAACCAACTGTATAGGCGAAAGGAAACTGGATGAGGAAAAAACATGCTTTAATAACAAGCGGAGTTTGCTAAAGACTGTTAAACAAAAAAAAAAAAAAAAAAAAAAAACACCACAGCCCTTTACACAGGGCATGGATGGGCAAAGCAAAAAGATACAGAGTGGTCTTACTGCATCAACAAACGCTCTTCCAAGCTGAAATTTTGAAGCCATTCTAAAAAGGTATAATTTTTTTTTTTTTTTTTTTTTTTTAAATAAACCTCTAATATTTACCTGCTCTGTGCAATGGTTTTGCTTCGAGCAGCCCGATCCTCCTCTTCTGGGTCCCCACCAGTTCTCTCCACAACGCCTCCCTTCCAAGTGCCCCCATAGCATGCCGTGCTAGTAATCAGTGACTTATAGTGTGGCGTGAAGTCTGGTGCTGAGTTTTGCTGGGAGGGATACTAACTGACACAGACTTTGCTTGTGACACTAACATAGCGATAATACTGTACTAATGACATGAATGGGTGACAGGGTGATCAGAAAGGCAATCAAGGTGTTAACTGTGTGCTGCTTTTACTCAACAGTATCTAACTCTTTTCTCCCTGAACTCAAGATTGATTTAAGAGATTTTGAGAGAAAAACAGCCAGATCGCTGTTCTGTGTGTTTGTAAATACAGAACTCTGTGCTGTGATTGGCCACAGCCGATCAGCAGGTATACAGCCAAAAATCATTGGCTGTAACCTACTGACAAACTCTTGCTGTGTCCAATCACAGCACAGATCAGCATGGGGTGCAGGCGCACCTGAAAACCAAGTAGTGGATTGTAATGTACCAATACGTTACCATGCCACCTGTTAGAAGTAAATACACTGTTAGAGGGCGACAAGTGGTTACACAAAACAAAATATATACACACACACACCCATCTTTTTTTTATATTTATGCTGCCAAAATTAGCACGTGCTCTAAATTACCTCCAGCATTGCTTCTCTTTTTGCTGGTGGTCACCATTTCCTTGAAGCCCACAGCAGTCACTTTCTTATTGAAAACGCTCCACCCCCCCGTCCTTGGTCTCAAAAATTCAATATATTTGACTTTCGGTAATTAAAATGTGTGCTTTCGGTAATTAAAATGTGTGCATCTCTAGCCCTGATTGTAGGTCTAGGCTCAGGGGAGTGTCATAACACTGTGCTGCTGAGGGAGAAATTAGAAAATATCAGGGAGATAGGATAAGACACTTGCCTTGTAAGTTTAACTCTTTCATGTCTCCCTGGCAGCAGAGTTTGTCCTGTCACCTCTCTTACTTTCCTTTTCTCCCTCCCTAATCGGTGTTCTCTCTGCACAGTCTCAGTCCAGTATGGCACATCATACTCAGAAGATGCCCAGTGGCCTCATCAGCTCAGATATGTCCCTCGTTGTATCCATGGATGTAGGGCAGAGCTAGGTCTGAGACTTTGCCAAAGTGAAAGTAAATTTATTAGGAGAGGATTACATAGGCCGTCATCATTGCTAACCTATTCCTGAAAATGCTAGCTGCTTGTACGCTGTGTATTAATTTGTACTCATTTCACAAGCAATTTTCCCATGATATATGCCCAGTAT